AGTACCACAAAAAACTTTTATGGGCCTTTCTGCCACTGACAGTTGGTCAAGAAGTATAATATATTTGTTGACTTTACTTTCTTGTTTCTTCTTGTAGGAATGCTCTCGTCTTGTGCCAGTACTAAGCTCTTCAGAATATGGGAGACACCTTCATCTTAATGTAGACAAAGTAAACAGAGAACATGTTAGGGTTGGCGTGGTACGTCTGGAATTTTACCGCAAGAGTGGAATGAGTAAATCACTGGAAGAAGGTTATGGTTGTGTAACTCCATCCTAACATTGTTTACAATACACTGGACATTTGCTGCAGAAAAACTTTAATTCAATAAATTTTATCAAAATGTTGAGTGTGGATATTCATTCTTTGCAAAGTCACTAAACCCCAAATGAATCGGTGTAAAATCAGAAAATGTTTTTGCCGCATTATTATACTCTTTATATTACATTATTATTTTTCTGTTCCTTTTATTACACAAAATTGTGTTGCTTTTAGGTAGGCAACACAAATCTATTCATATAGGATTTCACAGTGTTGAAGAGTTTGCTTTGTGTGGAAATTTCCTGGGAAACAGCATTTGCCCATAAATGTTATATATACTTTTGGCGATGTCGCTTTCCATCCATATTCCCAGCACCATTGCCTGAAGACTACTGAAAGTTGCAACTTTTGAGCATAACATACTAAACTATACCCAAAACGTGTTATTTAGCAATGTTTATATTCTGTTTTTCAAAATTAATTGAACTTTGCCTAGTCTTGCAGATATAAGAAAGTAGAATTCACAATGAGTTTTCTTCTTGGAATGTTTATTTGCATTTATTTACCCATTTTCTTAAGTTTGTCTACTTGTACCTAGATATCCAGTGATCACCTGAGAGTAACTATCCGTTGTAATATAAGCTGCACGGAACAAGCCTATTTTACTGTAATTTGTAATTTTGTGGACACCTGCTAGGGAAGTGATGATAGCAGTCAATTTGTTCCTGTATCAGAAAAAAGATGATCTGTAGCTGATGGAACTGGTGTATGGCAAACTCTCCCAGGGTCAAGCACTTCTGGGCAGCCAAAAAAAGAGCCAGTATTTGTTACTTTGTTTCGATAACAGAAAAGACAACACTATTGAGGTACTTTTTTTCCAGTCATATAAATGGTGGAAGAAATTGTCAGAATGTTTGCAAAGGCCAGAACAGACTTAAAACACTTTATTTTTTAGGTACTTAAAAGGGCCCCATTGACAGTAACTGCATATTACCTGAGGAAGCAAGTAACACTTTCTAGTGACTTACTCTTGGTCAGGGGTGTCAAACTGGCGACCCTCCAGCTGTTGCAAAACTACAAGTCCCACCATGCCTCTGCCCTTGGCAGTCATGCTTGTAACTGTCAATCTTGCAATGCCTCATGGGTTTGGCAACAGCTGGAGGGCCGCCAGTTTGAAACCCATGCTCTAGGTGGTCCACCAAATGAAACACATGTTGAATAGTTGAGCGATGTAATCCCTGCAAAAGATACCCTAGTCAGTATCCAATACAAGGTTGAAGACTGAGAGGATATGTCTGTGAAGGTTCTTATTTTCCTAGGTCATTATATACTTAGTAGTAGTTAGATGTTTTGCTACTCATCCAATTCTAAGTTAACTCACTCACCTTGAACAACCAACATCTGCTTTGAATTAAGAATATCATGAGAGGTGTGAAATTTTGTGAACCCCCTGTTCGTATTACATGACTCAATCCCCATGGTACCATGAACGCAGGAGCAATTGTTCAAATTACATGGCGAAAAGTGTGTATTGTTGACCAATCGCAAGGGTAGATGTCAGGGCAGGAGCCGAGGAACGGACAGGCAGGCCTAACAATGTAACGCACTGGCTGACGACAACCACCACCCACAGACCGAAGTCCCTCAGGGCGCGGAGTCTAAGTCCCAGGCTGCCCTTCACCAGGGCCCCTGATGGTGGGGATGGACTTGACGCAGCCAGGAACCAGGTCGCGGCCCCCGAGACACCTCAGCTGCGGTAATGGCCGCCGCCAATGGCGTGTAGCTGGTGGAAGAAGCAAAAGAGTAGTCAGACAAGCCGGGGTCAACAACAACAGGACAAAACAGTACAGGACAGCAGACGAGAATCACAGGTCACAAGCCGGGTTCAGCAACAGAGGGTCAGATCAAAGGAGAATACAAAGAATAGTCAAGTCACAAGCCGAGTCAGAATACCAGGCGAGTCACGAGAGTCAGAACAGAGTAATAGTAACACAAAGACACAAGACACAAGTGCAAAGAGCATGTGCGGGCCACAGGCTTATATGTCATCAGCCACGCCCTTCTGGGGGGTGGACCTCAGAGACCTGAAGGCATAAAAAGATTTCCCATCATGCACAGCAGAATCCAAGATGGACGCCAGCACATGGAGTAACATAACCTCAGGAAAAAGGTAGGACCTTGACAGTAGAGATGTTAAAACCACCTTATATTGTCTATTTACAACAACTGCGCAGTGTGAATGTCTCACCATTTAACCACTTGCCCTCCAGAGGATTCCCTTCCCTTCCTGACAAGGCCATTTTTTGAGATACAGCGCTGTGTAACTTTAACTGACAATTGCGCAGTCATGCAACACTGCACCCAATGAAATTTACGTAATTTTTTCCCATAAATAGAGCTTTCTTTTGGTGGTATTTGATCGCCTGTGCATTGTTTATTTTTTTGCACTATGAACAAAAACGGACCGAAAATTTTGAAAAAAAAAAAACCTATATTTTAGACTTTTTGCTATTAAACATGTCCAGTAAAAAAATGTTAAAAATCATATTTAGTCATAAATTTAGGTCAAAATATATTCTGCTACATGTCTTTGCTAAAAAAAATCCCAATACATGTAAATTAATTGGTTTACATGAAAGTTATAGTGTCTACAAATGGCGGTATAGATACTGGAATTTAAAAAAATTATTTTTTTTTTTACTAGTAATGGCTGCGATCAGCAACATATAGCAGGACTGTGGCGGGCATTCTGACACTGGGGGGAACTGATTTGGTGTCACTGGCATAGTCAGTGACACCAATACAGTGATCAATGCTAATAAAAATAATGACACTGGACAGGAAGGGGATAACGTGGGGCAATCAAAGGGTTAAGTGTGCTGTTTTACTATGTGGGCTGTGTGTGCTTTACACTGTAAGCACACTGCTTTGTCTGCAGGGGCGGACTGACAACCCATGGGGCCCCTGGGCAATAGGGGATCATGGGGCCCCTGTGTCCTTGCCCAAACTCAAAAAAGCCTATGAAAAAGGTACCAGGGGCATCTCATAGGGCCCCCTACTGACCCCGGGCCCTCGGGCATTGCCCGAGTTTCCAAATGGTCAGTCAGCTCGTTTGTATGGCTCTGCTATGCAGAGCCATAGAAAGCAGTGTGCAGGAGATGACAGGGGAGAGATCTGTATTGTTTACATACAGGTCGCTCCCCCCGCCAGAAATCCTTTGAGATCACCGGGGACTCACTGGCCGGGACTCGGTGATTGATAGCTGAGGCCGGGACTCGGTGATTGATAGCTGAGGCCGCGAATGGTGGCACGGGTAGGGCGCCCCTCACCCCGGAATTGCAAAATCATGTATATATGCGTGATTTTGCGCACCCGTGCTACCCTGTAGCAGTATTTCTGCTATAGGGTGGTGCGGAAGTGGTTAAACAAGTCACAAATAATACCCATAATGTCTGCAATATGTGTGAAGCATCAATTTCTTCTTGTTGCCTTTCACAGCATGACATTAAAAGCCGTAATAAAAGGAAAGCAACGTGGGATCCTTGTTAGTACAATAGAAACAATTTATTCAACATTAAAAATACTCCCGCACTGCTTTCCTTTTATCATTTGAGCTAACTGGATCACCCTGGGCCACTTGTGGCAAGCTACAGGAACCTTGTTATATAGTCTTTTTGTCCATATTTGAAGATTGCTGGTCTATTCTACTGCTATAGTAGGAGTGGAGTGATTTGTGGATTTTTTAGAGTTAAAGCAGTAGTAAACTCCCCAAAAAAAGTGTGCCCCTGGGCAGTTTAAGTGATAATATGCTAGTATGCACCACATACTGTTCTAGCAAATTATGACAGACTTACCCTAAAATGAAGCCCTCTAGCAGCGTGCTGTCAATGCTGTTGGCGTTTCCACCTTCACCCAGTCACAGTCGTGCATGTCCCAGTGAAATGTAAATATCTCCTAAATAATGCATGTTTATGAGATATTAACTGTACCTACATGTATGCTTTATTATAAAACATAAAGTAGACTTTACTACTGCTTCAGACAAGAGAGTTCAGTCTCTGCAACAGTGTATCAATTCTGTGTAGGGGTTCCTTCTGCAGAAGCTGATTCATTACAGCATCAGTGATGAGTACAGAAATCTCCATACACTTAGCAGAGGTCTTCTTCATATTCTTAGCACTTATTCATAACCTCATTAGGCTAACGCACGAAACACATCAACCTTTCTTTTCTTTGCCCTCTGTATGGTGTACTGCTTTTGGATTTTTATGCATTAACCACTTTACTAAGGCGCTATAGCCAAACGACGGATACAGCATGGTCGTCCAGTTCTGGGAGGGTCTCATATGACGTCCTCCCTGAACGTGCCCCCAGTGGTGTGCACCCGGGCCTGTCTGTGATCTCTGTGTTTTTTGGCCTTTTATCATGTCATGTGATCAGCTGTATCCAATTACAGTGGCTTTTTACCATGTAATCAGCTGTGTCCAATCACAGCTAACCAACTTGTAAATACACTTGCCGGTTATCGGCAGTACTTTCCTCAAGCTGTCACAGCTGTCAAAGCAGACATCTGCACTGATAATCAGAGCACTGATTATCAGTGCCCTGGTTATCCATGCAGCCCCAAAAGTGTCCACCAGTTCCCAACAGTGCTGCCCAGCAGTGCTACAAATCTGTTTGCGTCAATGCCACCAGTCAGTGCTGCCAGTCAGTGCCACCAGTCAGTGCCCTTCAGTGCTATTAGTGCCCATCAGTGCAGCATCATCAATGCCTCCTCATCAATGCCCACCAGTGCCACCTCATCAATGCTGCCTATCAGTGCAGTCTCATCAATGCACATCAGTGAAGGAGAAAAATTACCTGTTTGCAAAACTTTATAATAGAAACAAAGAAAACCTTTTTTTTGTTCAACATTCTTGCACTTTGTTTCGTTTATAGTGCAAAAAATAAAAAACCCAGTGGTGATTAAATACAACCAAAAGAAAGCTCTATTTGTGTGAACAAAATATAAAAATTTCATATGGGTACAGTGTCACATGACTGCGCAATTGTCATTCAAAGTACGGCAGCGCTGAAAAGTGGTCTGGGCAGGAAGGGGTTAAAAGTGCCTAGTAGGCAACTGATTAAGAGGATGTTTGTTTGTTTTTTTTGGGTGTGCGGGCTGTCCAGTGGAGTTCCAGCCCCCGCCACCTAATCCCCCCCAAAAAAGTCAACAGTTATAAATACTGTAGCTGCTGACTTTTAATATTAGGGCACTTACCTGTCCACGCATCCAGCGATATCCTCACCCCAAGCTGATACTTCAGTCAGCTGGTTTCCCACTGAGCACGTGCGAAGTGCGCTGCGCTTTGTGAATTGGCCGCAGTCCTCTGGGACTTTGGAAGTATCCCGGAGGGCTGCGGTGGGGGTGTGCGTGAACTTCCAACTCAGTTTGCCAAAATCAAAATAGAGTACCCGCTCCCCCCCTCCTCCCCAAAAGGTGCCAAATGTGGCGGGGGGGGGGGGGGGGGGAGTTGGCAGAAAAGTGCACTTACACTTTTGGGTGGTACTGTGCTTTAAAAGCATCTTGTGTAATAAAAAAAAGTTGTTTTTTTAATTAAACAGTCCTGTTTAACCCCTTATTAACTCTTAATTTACTCTAATGAGCCCTAATAAACTCTCCTTTTCCATTTAATAATTTTTTTTTCCTGCTGATTTTTTTTTGTTCATTTTATTTTATAAACTAATAATTAAAACCTTTTTTATTTGCTCTTTTCATTAATAGTTTTACATCCTAACCTATATTTACACATTTCACATTTAAAACAGTGCAAAGTTGAAAACAAAAAATGTATTTCATTGGTAAGAACTTTTCAATGCTTTGTACCAGAATCATAATTTTAGTGTCATTTTAAAGAGGACAAATTACAGAATAAAATGTGCACTTTTTATGTGCAGTGACACTATTTATTTTTAAACTAACACTGCTCAAAGAAAGTGCTTTTGTTTTAGTTTTGTTACATTTCTCTAAAGATTGTGAGAAAATATCATTGTTGCAAGACAATATTTACGAAAAGAAAGCCTTGTTTGTCCTGAAAAAACCCCCCAATATATGTAATACGTTGTTATCTTAACCTCTTCACGCCGGCGCCTCCCGGCCCTTTAAGAGTTTCAGAAGCTGGGAGTCGGCGGGGTTTTAGGGTCATGTGACCGCCGTGATTCGCTGTCACGGAGGTCACATGATCGGAAAAGGTCCCGATCAAAAGGGGAGATTGGGACCTTTCCGGGAGTCGCGGACATATGTGCTGGGAGCACGCAGGATGCGCGCTCTCATCACATATGTAATTTCTAATTGCACGCAAATATGTTGCCGCACGGCGTGAAGGCCCAGACGCCGAGAGGTTGCATATTTGCGTGCGATAGGCGTCAAAGAATTAAGTAATGACAAAGTTATCGAATAAACAGGTCCATAGCACAGTATTAAAAATTGCTCTGGTCCCAATGGGGTGAACAGGTATGACAGCCAAAGTGGTTAAGGAGCAGAGCCACTGCGTCCTTAACAACTGATCACTCATTCAGCTGCTTATTTTATATTTTGTATATACAGCATTTTGTTGTAAAAAGTGGAGAAACAAAAAGCCAAAGCTGACACATTCCACACAAAACACCAAAAATGGACTGGACAAAATGATTGGCACCCTCAATTTAAAATTTGGTAGCACACCCCTTGGAAAAAATAACTGAAATCAATAATTTCCTGTAACCATCATTGAGTTTCTTACACCTCTCTACTGAAGTTTTGGAGAACTCTTCTTTTGCCAACTGCTTCAAGTCTCTCAGACTGGAAGGGTTCCTTTTCCCAATGCTGTTTTGAGATCTCTATAAAATTGAGATCTGGACTCATTGCTGGCTAGTTTAATGCTCTCCAGCACTTTGTCTGAAAACATTTCTGGGTACTTTTTGACATGTAAGACCCATGAACTCTGATGGAGACCCACCTTTCTGACACTGGACCGTACATTGAACCCCAGAATTCTTTGGTAGTTGTCAGATTTCCTAATACCAAGCACATGGTCAATACATCCAGTGCCTGAAGCAGCAAAGGAACCCAAAAAAATCAGTGAACTTCCACCATGTTTGACTGTAGGGACTGTATTCTTTTCTTTAAAAGCCTCAATGCTTTTTCTGAAAACAGTAGATTGAAGGGCTTTACCAAAAAGCTGTAATTTTGTTTTGTCTGTCCACAGCACATTCTCACAAAAAGATTTTGGCTTCATGGGGTACTTTTTGTCAAATACCAATCTGGCTTTTTCATGTTTCTGTGTCAACAGTAGGGTCCTCCTGGGTCTCCTACCATAGCGTCACTTTTCATTCAGATTGTGATGTATAATGCAACAGCTTGCACTATACATATTGCACTATACACACAGTTGTACCCTGTGCTTGACGGTCAGCTGGACTTTGTCTGGAATATGATCGAGGTTCTTTATCCACCATTCAAACAATCCTTTGTTGCAATCTTTGATCAATTTTTCTCTGTCACTCACATCCAGGGAAATTAGCTACAGTGCCAAGGGCTGTAAACTTCTTGACAATGTTGTGCACAGTGAACAAAGGAACATTAAGATCTCTGGAGATGGACTTGTAACCTTGAGATTGTCTATGCTTTTCCTCAATTTTCGTTCTCAACTCCTCATACAATTCTTTGCTTCTCTTTCTCTTCTCCAAGCTCCATGTGGCACGCAGAGACACACAACAAAAAGGTTGAGTCAATTTTTCACCATTTTAACTGGTTGCCAGTGTGATTTCTATATTGTCAGCACCTGTTAATTAATACAGATGAGTTTTGCACATTACAGGAGCATCACAAACTTGGAATGCAATTATTTCTTCTAATTTTGAAAAGGTGCTGTGAGGAATTTCAATTTAGTCCGTCCCTCCTCCATACACACATATAGTTCAAAGTACTTCAGGAACAATGCAAGTCAGACACCTAGATGTGTGATGCAAAATTCAACTTCTTTATTATTGGCCTTAAGTAATAAATGATAATGGGGTTTTTGCATGGAATTTGTTAGATTTGGCTTTTTGTTTCTCCAATTTCTTTTAAATCATACCTATACAAACAAAAGAAATAAACATGAGAATGCATAAACATTTGTAATTGCAACAATTTTCTGGGCGAAGTGGTGCATTATTTGACAGAAATGCGGGGGTGTAAATATTTTTGGCCATGACTGTATGTGGGAGAGTGATGAGCATGGGAGATACTGGTGTAGGATGTCTCCTTGGTTAGGCAAAATTGAACATCATTCAACCCCGAAGACTGAGGACATCTTTTGGTGGAAAAGATGTACCGTGTGGGAGTATTGTAGCCTGCGCTGGGTTTTTCTGTTCCTGTGTTTCAATTTTGTTGATGGACCAATAAAAAAAGCTGGTGTTAGACTTTAATTACTTACTCAAGTGCACTTCGTAATCAAGGCTAAAGTATTTCCAAAGTATCTCTTTCTTGCAGAGAGGTTTGCCTTTGCTATACTTATTTTTTTACAGTGTGCCTTAAAGTGTATAATAGTCAAAATTTTAAATCATATGTTCATTTCCAGATTGTATTTCAATTATTTCTAGTCTTCTCGTATTAATCTGAATTATCTTGACATTTGTTAAGATCTCCACACATTTATTGTACTTTCTTGAATTCTGTGGCACATATTCACTATTTCCTGTGAGCAGGCACAGCTGTGTCACAGAATTCAAAAAGCCTGCCTTCTGATCTACAGAGCAGCTGAGAGGAGAAGTTTCAGTACAAGAATCACTGCTCTCAGGCACATGGTACTATGGGATTTTTGGTCCCTAGAAATTGAAAGTAAACAACCGAAGATAAGGTGCAAGGCGTGCAAGGAAACTAGGAAGTTGTGGAAAAAGATGACCTTAAGACAGGAAGCACTTACAACATGAAAGGAGATTTTTCAAGTACGTTTCTTTTGGATTGTAAAAAAAAAACCTTTAGTTTGTATTGCTATTACAATTCTGATGTTATAAAATGAAAGTGTAGGTTGTGACCAAAGATCTCCTTTAACAAAGATAAAACATTTTAGGTGTATTTAACACAAAATGTACACTGCATCTATTGCAAGGATTTTAGCAAATGTTATTTCTGATTTCTCATTTTCTCCTTGCTGAAAATAAGCAACATTTGTATAGGCTGTTAAATTGTTCAAAGTGAGAGCAAAACTACAGGTTCTGCATAGAAGATGAGGTCACTAATAAATAGTTCTGTATTTAAAATTAGCTATTTATCTCACCATGTTTCAGTGCTTTCAGACTGTCAAATGTGTGTGTGCTGAAGGATTAATACAGTAAATACAAAAAACAATCCACCTTTCTGCTTGTCCCACCTATGATAGTTATAGTTATTTTCATAGTTATTGTAAAGTTGAATAAAGACACCAGTCCATCCAGTTCAACCTGCGTGGGTGTGTTCAAGTCAAATATCCTATCCCATATCCCTGTATATTGTGCTCGCCAAGATGCCCATCTACGTTTTTTGAAATTATCAATACTTCCTGCTAACACTTGATTGTTGAAGAGTTCCACATCCTTACCACCCTGACAGTGAAAACCCCCCTACACAATTTGTGGTTGAGTGGCCCATTGTTTTCTTGAACTCAGACTGAATAGTTTATTCCTCATGTTAGAAAAACCACTGAGATTTTTATATAATCATAACTCCACTAAAGCATATCTTCTCCAGGGTCCTCTAGCTCCCATATTAATTGCTGTCCTTTTCTGGGATCTCCCCAGCTCAAGCACATCCTTCCTGAGGACTTGTGACCAGAACTGGATGGAATACTCCAGATGTGG